TTGTTTTACGGGCACAGTTGAAAAATGTTTTGCTATGATTTATTCTAAAATATAACGAACTGCTTCAATCACTGACTGATAAATCAACGTACTTGTTGGGTGTCTTTTGCGAATATTTGAAAGCAAGATCAGTTGTCCTACTATCAAGCCATACAATCGCATTGCACAATGGGTTACCGGTTTCACGATCCCATAACACTGTGGTTTCTGAAAGCTATCTTCGAACTCACATTCAATTAATCTTTTGCACTTTCGAGAATTTGCACAAAAACTTTACATATTTCTTTTTCGCTAAGAATTCGACTGCAAAAATCATTCATAAACATCGGAAATGTTTCCTGTCATATGTCTCAATTTCAAACGATTTCCTTCATCCACTCGAAAAACAAATGCCATCCATTCTTCAAATGTTTTTGTGCGATCAATCAAATATTGGCCATTATCAGCTGCATGATCACGCATATTCTTATTATTTTTACCATTTCAACATTTTACTATTTACAGGTCACTAATTAGATTAACTGATCAGAGAATAGTGACAGTAACAGTGATAATAACTGTTGGTTAAACAATCAAGAGTAAACTACTGACCGCGTTGATTCGTTATTCCAACGCATTTGATCTGTGAGAGACTAATTTTCAGTTTATCTAGATTCTTACAAACGGTTTCGATACATTTTTTAACGGTGTTGATCATCTCATTCGGGTCCATTTCCACCCATCCTGGATGCGGGAATAACTGCCGGACTTCGATCTGAAAACCAGTTAACGTTTCTTTCATGTTATTAATCGAGCAAAGCTCTTGAGTTCAATTGAGACTTTTGGAGATCGATAAACGAAGAGCTCTCAAAGCTTCATGCTTATCGATCACCAAGAGTCTCACTTGAAGATGAGCAGTTCTCAAGAATGTTGTATATATCAATAGTCTTGCTGTCATCGAACGCAGCAATATTAGCTCATTGGTGTTCGATATATCAGTAGTGTCACAAGGAATATTCATCAGAATCTAACATCGTTGATATCCTATCACACTGATACATGTTCAATCATAGTTACTGTTATCGTTACTAGTTTTCCACGTCTACTGATAATCATTTCCAAATTGTTCTTATCAAATGCGGTTAGCATTATCAAACGTCGGCACTAATAACGTTTTTCAACAATTTTTCATGACTTATTATCGGTATTGAAATCNCAAATGTCGGCACTGATAATGTTTTACAACAATTTTTCATTTCTTGTTATCGCTATTCAAATCTGTAGCTATGAAAGTGATGTTTCAGTTGGACTCAGTTTTGCTATTTAATCTTTGTATTGTCGATGATATCAACACGTGTTCAGCACACTGTGCTCGTAACTATGTTTGATGTTAATAGCTATTGCATGCTTATATGACTGTGCATCTTTTAAAATGCAACTGCAATCATAACCACACAGTAATGATCAGTATCAAATTTGATTGTCAACATCATCTCACATGCTCATGCAAACTTGAANTGTCGCACTGTTCTACCGTCAAACTCCCCTTAAAATTTCTTATTCTAACCGTGAAGAACGTACATCTAGACGTGATAAAATGAAATTGAACTGCATCATCAATGAGTTGAACTGATGATGGGGCTGAAAACGTTACTAAGCAATGCCGATATCATTTGTTAAGTACATATTCTTAATGATTTATACCAAACCAATTGACCGGAAGTGTAATTGAACCAATTGAACTTATGCAATATGGCAACCAAATACCTGATGGTGTGCAACCACATCGCCGGTTGCTAGATCGAACAACAAGAAACGACTACTTGACGTCCCTTGATCTATTGCGCCTATCAACTTCTCATCACCACGCATCTGGAAATATCTTTCAATCAAACTGAATATTAATGGTGAATGTTATTCGCAGTATCATGATGTACTGAACGCAACATCCTTAAAAGTAAGTAAAATGAAAATAACAAACTAACAATATTAGAAATGATAATGCTGCTTGCAACGATTATCAGATTCACAATAAGAAGGACAAAACTGATGCAAAAACAACGACGATCATCGCATCACATGATTCTGATTCGTTTGTGAATGAAATTGGGTCATTAGCCGAGTAGCTGATTGTATTGCGAGTCCAGATGTTTTCGTTCAAAATGAACAATGGCTATGATCAATGAACAAAGTGACGTTTGGTAAATCCCCATTCAACTGAACTCCGATGTCTTAAATCGCCATCTTATTGAACTCATCACCTACTCATTCTATTACAAAACCAAGCTAATGATCATTGAAACGAGGGTTTCTAGCTCAGGCATTACAAACTTCTACGCACATTACATTGATAAATATGTGTACATAAATACTGTATGAATGATATTGAACTTTATATGATGGGTTTCAATTTAAGGATGCTTCGAACAAACCTTTCTGCTGGTAACAAAAGAATTCGCCAGGCAACTTTTACCAACACCCATTATCTTTATCAGTATCAAAGTTATTGTACTGTAAGAGCAAAGTAGTCACTAAAATATGCCGAGTTCCCAGTTGATAGCTAAAGCAAACGTTTTCTGAAGAAGCAAACTTTACAAATGAATTCATCTTTGCAATTGAATTGGATTGTTGGAAATTGCAATATCTATGTTAGCATAAGCCATAAATTAACATACGAAAATGATTCGAAAATCTCGAATTCTATTTTTAAAGCCTGAACGATCATTTCAATATTATAGCTGAATGTTTCTTTCTATCACGAATCATTGAGATTCGATTCGCATTGCAACAAATCAGTATGACTGGTCCTAAGACATATCCATTCGCAAAAAATATTTACATTAAATCGAGATGTTTTAATCACTTCTGATATTCTGATATATTGATGAACAAACCCAGAGCTCGAATTATGTTCTTTTTTTTTGAAATTACATTATGGATGACATTAGAAATTCCTTGGTCATTGAAATTCATTGCGACAATGTGAGGAATAGGAATAGAACAAAAAGAGCAAGCGAAATTCTATGATTCTAAAGGATTCTAAAGAACTCAAAAAAGCAACGAATGAAATTAAGGCAATTTATTCAAGAAGGGCAGTCGAGTCTAAAATTGATTCGCATGCAAAAAAACGAGAGCTTAGCGGTTCGTTTCAACAAACCTCGTGACAAAGCTGTTTAGCTGCTATGAAGCCGGCTTTTTCAGCAGCTTCCGCTCATCATTATTACAATCCTTTGATTGTTTGCTTTATTATCAGCTATACGCATACTAAACGTTACGTCATAT